TGAGGGTTGCTATCCGTTGCCGGACACGAAAAAAGACAAAAAAAAAAAAAAATGCCAGTTTCTAATTTTTCTTTCTTAACCAGCACAACAGATTTGTTCTGGACTGTAAAGACAAAGAGCCTGATGTGCTGTTTGTGGGAGACTCCATGGTGCAGTTAATGCAACAATATGAGGTAAAGGTGGAAGGAATGAGGGTGGTTTTTGGCTACTGATATATATCCATTAATTACTAACAGACTTTCATTCTGAGCTGGACCTATAGACTTATTCATGACTCTTAGAGAAGCTCGAGTTCAGAGTATAAGGGAAATCAGAACTACCTAATGAGATTCTTTGTGCCACCTAACAGGATGAGACAAGGAAAAAAGTTTATCATTGTTTATTACTAAATGTTTTTGCTCTGGCTTTCAAGAAGTTTGACGTTATATTTGTTTATTTGCATTTGCCTTAGCTGTGATTTTTTTCAACTCTATTTGTATTTTACTGTTGTCTTATTTGTATTTGTATATATATATATATTTGTCCTAGTTATGATTCTCACTTATTATTACTTGTATTTTGCCATTTTCTTATTTTACATATTTTTGTAGTGATCTCTTCCAAATCTTTTCTTAGGGTTAGGCATTCTTACAAGGGAAATTTAAAGTAAAAGATAACTTTATTTTGTTCTGGCTCCAGCACTGTAAATTTCTTCATCTGTTTTTCTGCTTCACCTGTTCCTTTAAATAGTTGAATAAATGGAAAGGAGAGTTTATTGAGTTGGCAACTTAATTATAAATGTTGGTACCTCTTAAGGGGAATCAGATTGAGTTGTGGCTATATTCTTGAGCTGAGACCTAATCTGCATTAAGAACTGAGTTAACTGAGATAGCCCTTTGAAGGGCTATCTTCAAAGCCCTTTAAAAAGTGAGTGGCACACCATTTGCGGTGTTATGTTTGAATACAGAAAATGGAAATTATTATTTGAGATGCCTCACAATACATTGCAATTGAAGGATTTTATTTTCCACTGTTTTTAGCTTAACTAAATCAAGTTTTTCTCTTTTTAGATATGGCGAGAGCTTTTTTCCCCACTTCATGCACTGAATTTTGGAATTGGGGGAGATACAACAAGACATGTTTTATGGAGACTAAAGAACGGAGAACTGGAGAATATTAAACCTAAGGTGAAATGAAACTTATTTTTGGAAGACTATCTTTAATCTTGGGTCTTTTCCAAATAGTTAAATTGTCTGAAACTGCTAGTAAAAAAACATTGCTTCTTTAAGTTCCTGTTTCACTATTGCTGTTTGTTTCATGACTCTTTAAGGTAAATGATATTGTCAAAATATATATTTAATTAAGAAACAAGCATATTGTTTGTCTGGGTTGTGTTTGTAATTGTTATAATTATCTTCAGTTGTAGGAAGAGATTTTTTTTTTTTTTTTTTGTCTTTTGTCTTTTTCCGTGTCCGGCAACGGATCGCAA